CCCCCCCCCTCCTCTCACTACCAGTTCCTTACTGCACCGCCTATAGCTTACCGTTCACTCCTTGCTCGAAACACGTTATCAACCTCTTTCAACCCAACCAAAATACCCACACTGCATTCCTGACATCCTCACCCTCTCTCACCCGTAGCCCACCTCGCTGGTACACTCCTCTCCCATCTGCTGATGTTCACCGTCTCGCCCGTACTTACTGTTATTAACCCTTACCCCCCTCCCTAACCCCTACAACTCCCATAAATCACATCTCGTTCGTAACTCCACTATCCCGCGTTCCTATAACTCACATCCTGCTAACCACTCCCGCACCAGTACAAAAAGAGAGAGAGAGAGAGAGAAAACAGAAGGGAAGAAACATAAGACCGCTCAAGCAACAAAATGCAGGCCCCTGGTAACCATGGCACAGCTGCAATGTTCAAACGAACGTTGCAGAACTCATCAACCATGATGCGAAATCCACAGGCATCCAAATTAACATCTAGTGTGATTGATAACGATGCACTTAAGTTTGTCATTGAGAGCACGAAGGTGGAAGGTGTTCAAGAGAAAGAAACATTCACCAACCCACAAGGTAAAAATGAAGAAATCGTTGTGTGGAGACACCTGGAAGGGAAGGTACATGAACTGGATGAACTGCATGAAAAGCACGGGGTTGTTTTCAATTTCGCAAGAAATGGAGCCGACATCATGCCAGCAGAAAAGAGAAAATGGGTGATTGCAACATTAAAAGAAGAAAGACTGAAGACAATCAACGAAGCATTTTCCCCACAAAATTTGAAACGTACCTCAATCATGGTAATGTTTAATCACGAAAAAACACGCACAAATTGCAGCACACATGAAATCAAGGAACTGTAATGGGTTGATTTGCACAATAACAGCATGGAAGAAGCAAACAAATTCCCGCCCGAACCCAACCTACACAGTCTTTTACAAACAGACACCGATGAAAGAGAAATTATGGGTCCAATTTGATAAAATACAGCCAGGATTCCATGGTCTTATTGCCGACAGGTTGGAGAGACAGTATCCAACGAACATATCCTGAAATGGATTTTGAGCAATCCTTGAGGTGAAGACTGACGACCCACCGGTCTTCCCTCAGCAATGGAAGTTGGGGATCCAAGACAGGGAACTGATTATTGATGTCTCAACAAAATCCTCGCCGATATGCTTCAGATAGGTCACCTCGACACTAACCTCAATTGCCCAAAGTTCCCGTAGCAACAAAGCGAACTAAAACTCCACCCCAACATGTTGATGGAAATAGAGGAAGCGCCTGGTACCTGGTTCAGTGTAGACCCATCCATCACAGTGTAGACCCCTCCTGTGATGGATGGGTCTTTGATGATAACCTGGACGACCCAGACTGGGTTTGGCACTACTCGGACAGGGAACCATCAACGAAAAAGCCAAACATTTTCCCTCCAGCGAACAGCAAATGGCAGAAGAAAGATACAGGAAAGGAAGCAGGGAACCCCACAAAGATCAATGCCATCCACCTGAGCGACTCTCGGGTCATCCGGGACGAAAAGGCGATGGAAGACCTACTTTGGGACCTGGAGTCAGGGAGCAAGCAGAACTGGAATATGGCAAAGAACCAGAAAAAAATCACAAATAACAAATCTCAGAGAACAGGAGAACGAGCAAAACATGACAAAACTGCAGACTGAAAACAAACGGTCATTAGAGAATAAACATGACGAAAGGGAAGGGAAATCAGACCTGAAACAAAGAAAGGGTACTGACTCAGACACGAATCAGGCTCCAGCCAACGACCCGATAGTTGACGAACCAACCAAAGACTCAGACTCAATGATGGATCAAGATAGCAGTGACGACAGCAAAAGCTCATGCGGATCGGCCCCTAACAACGACCAGACGCCCTCCACTGACAGGTCTCTCCAATGGCTGCGGGAGTACATTGAAAAGGCCAAGCGGGAGACGAAACATTTTTTCAACATTCGCACAGCCTGCCTGAAGCGCGTAGAGAGGACACAGATGCATGAACGCCTCAACAAACAAATATGCCATACTCAAGAAAGAGGAAGAATTTCCGAGTATATGACCTTCAGGTATGCAGGGAAAAAGAGAGCCAAGAAATTTTGGCGCGACTTCCTGATCGGAGTGGGATGTGGGCCTGGAAGTGCGAAAAGGGGTGTGCCAAGGATTTTTGGGAAAAGTGGGGGAGTCTTAGGGGTATGAATGCAATTAGACAAGCGAGGGGCGCGTGGGACTCAAGGCCCGATGGGGCCGGGGTACTGTGGGCGGCGGTTTGCGGGGAAGTCCCTCCTCGGAGGAGGCGGTCCCGAAAAGTTGGGCCGTCGGGGGCCGCCACGTGGCGCAGGCCGCTGCGTGTTTGGGTTGGGCCTTCAAAATTCCGGCGTTCTCCGCTCGCCACTACGTCGGCAATTCCCGCAAGGCGTGCTGGGCCAATAAGGGGCTATGGCCGGCCACAGAACGACGCTGAGTTGATGATACGGGAGAAGGAGGCGAAAAGGAGGGAAACTGGTGGTGATGACGACAAATCCCGGGTGGGTGAAGTAGTAGGTATGGTCGGGGGAAGGGAAATCAGAACACCGGGGGTCGCTAGTGGTGGCGCAGTGGAATTCCCGCGGACACAGTCGATTCTCCGTGTAGCAGGGGTATCGCAGCCTTAGGAGTTCGTTTATCCAAGGCGTGAAGTAATCCGGGTCATAGGATGAGTCTGAGCTCCAAGATCGCGTCATGGTATCATCGTGTGTGGGACAACTCTGGTCGGGATATCGTCACCGTGCACGAGCACGTGTAGGACGGGCGAACTTAGTTGCGCCTCAGCGTGCTCGTGCGGGATGATGGTTTCGCCGCGAATCTTTTTGGGTGGGCGGATCGACGCACGTGGATGCGTGTAAACGCGCGATTCGGATCGTGTTTACACGTGTCTTCGCGCGGCGTTCGCAGGACCCAACATCGGATTGTCTAATGGCTCCGTAGGTTCGGTTATGCGAGATGCAACCACACCACAACCCAAGCAACAACGAGAACAAAAATCGTTGTCGGGGCCAAGTTCTTATCCTCTCTACAGCTGTATCAGGTGCAGGCGATGATTCGTCACAAACAAAAGCAAGGACAAGGATTTTCAGCAAAAGATAGACAAGCAGGCATAGCATCCATACATCCAGTAATCATACACATAATGTAATCGAGACGGAAATCGCAAAGACAAGTGTGAGCAAAAACCCAAGTCCAGATTCCAAAAAACCGAGACGAAAAACAGAAACGGGCAACCGCCCGGAGCCGCAATCAAAATGTATGTACACAGATGAAGAGGGGGAAACGACAAAGAAACAGCAAACCCGCGTCCATCGACCTCAACTCTCTCTCCTCCTCTTCTCTCTCTTCTCCGATGCGGACAGTCCGTCGTCACGCACCAACCCACGAAGTCGTCACCCCGCTTAGTCCTCCCGCACCCGTCGGATTCGCCCGTGCCCACAGTCCGTCGTGGCCCACGTCAATCCCGTGCGTTCGGCACCAGCCCGTCGGGTCGCCCAACTCCTACTCTACTCACCTCTTACTTCGCTCGTGTGCCGACCCTTCCTGATCGCGCAACCCCGAGCTTCCAACAACGGGTTAAGAGAGCTGACTAATCGCGCAACCGGAATTTATAGTGTGCATGTATGCGCGAAGAACATGGAATTACCAGGACTTAGAACGGGGATTACAGAGGGAGCGCCTGTGTTCTGCATGATCAGGCCGCGGCGTGGGGGACGTAGCCCTTCTCCACGCATCGATCTGAGCATGCAACCCACGACTTACAAAAATCCCAGCAAAAGAAAAGAGAGGGAGGGCGGGAGAGACGAAGTGCAAGAAGAAAGATACGGTTACAATGGCGCCCGCCCAAAATTACAGTTACACACACAATTAAGGGCGCCCGTTAATCAGAGTACCGTTGCAGCCGCATGAAGAAGCGCGTAGACAAAAGGCGCCGCGAGGCAGAAAAATCCTAATTACTGAATTCCTAAATTCCTATCAAAAAGCACGAACTTCAGGGGGAAAGTCCGAAATTCCGAGAGCTATCGGAGCTTGATAAAATTTGAAAGAGATTCAAAAGAAAATTCAAAAAGAACGAAGCAAATTCCCGCGCGACGTCCGCGCCCAAAAGATCGAAACCGAAACGAAAGAAGCGACGTCAACATTTATTAATCGCGCGTGTGGTGGCGCACCAGCCATCAGCCGACCAATCAATCAACCGGCCGTTCCAGGACACACCCAACTCCGAACCCAGCCCTTCGAAAAGAAGCGACGAAAAAGACGAAAAAGCAAGGATACAGATGCAATTTCCCACCGATCCCGATCTCCCGTAACTGGCCCAATCTTCCCAACTTAGGACCCCTCATTGCAACCGCGCAGAAAATCGCACGTTTCAAAAAGTGGTTCGTCACATATGTGACGTCCAGGGGGTTCCAATATTAGCAAGCTCCTGCTTGCTTGTCGACACGTGTCAATTTCTCTAATTGATCGACACGCGGAGCCCTTCTCTCTATGCCACTTACTGTTCAATTGCGTGTGGGCGTCGTCCAACGTGGCAATATTGCTCTTCTACTAATTCCTCAGATTGGGCTCTCGACGATCCAAGGACGGGATCTTTCTCGTGTCGTCGCCGTGACACGCGTCCATTACCGCTTCATCAGTAATTAACCGCGAGGGGGAAAGGAAGGCGATACGTGTATGAGGGAGGGCGAGGCGGCTCCATCGTAAGTTCGGGTATGAATCGCCCGATCGCGATGAGGTCGCAGGGAAGATCTTGAAAGCGGACGATGCGATGGAAGCGGGGGAATCGCTGTCCGCTGAGGGGAAGGGAAGCGAGGTAGTCTGGGTAAAGGGAGACGAGGGTTCGGAGGACGTCCGTGCGGAATCGGTCATGGTCTTCGCACGCGGGGAATGTCCCCGCGACGATGCAGTAAACCTCTATGTGGTTACGGCCTCGCCACGCGGCGCTAAGGAGTAGAACGTGGAGGAGGTAATCGGGGACGGCGCACCGAACAGAACGGTGGGGATGGACAGTCAGCTCTAGGCAGGCGGAGTAGAAATGTCGGAAGGTGGCGATGGGGAAGGGATTACGGGGGAAGACGACGCGATGAAGATACTGATTGAAAGAGAGATGGCTAAGGGGACGATGGTATATGGATCGGGGACGAAGGGCGAAGCCCCTCATCGACACGTTGACGAATTGGGGGACGGGCGGGGGCGGAGGGGGATGAGGATCGGGATCGGGGTCAGCGCCTTGTCGTCGCGGCGCTCGAGGTCGTGGCAGCAAGGTCCCCATGTTCCGGCTTGGGCGGCTCGGGATCCTTGGAAGGGTCGTTCGGTGTGGGGTCGATCACTGGCCGTTTTCCCTCCGCGACCTCCTTCTTGTGCTGCGCAGCGGCCTCAGGATTCTCCTCTCGACGATCCGGATTTGGCACCCACTCGAGTTCGTCGTCGTACGCTGGCTCCCGATCGTCTTCTCCGCTTTCCACTCCCTCGTCATCGTCTTCGTCTTCCTCTTCCTCACTTTGCTCCCCCTCACTGTGCTCGCTATAGGCTTCCTCTTCTTCTTCTTCGTCCTCGGCTTCTGCCGCTTCTTCTTCTGCTTCGCATTCCTCCTCCTCGTCCTCGGCCAACCGGGCCGCCGCTTCTCCGACCTCTCTCCTTAATTCTCCTTCCGATTCTTCTTCTGCTTCTTCCTCTGCTCTCAGTGTTGCCCACTCGAACGCCGTTGGTTGCCGAAAGAAGCGGGGGTTAGTTAGGTTGTGGACGTCCAGGTACTCGCTGCGAGATGGGAAACGGTCGTCCGCCCAGCGCTCCTCGATACAAGCCGACCACTGGAGGCTCGGGGCGAGAGTCCTTGAGAGGACATGCAGCACGGGCTCTTCGTCGCTCTGAGAGACGATATCGAGGGGGAGCTCGTCGGCCAGTCGCGCGATCACGATCGTAAGTTCGCGCACGATCTGTGATCGGTATCCCCGATCCACAGCTCCAAAGACGAATCCCATAAGGTCTCCCGCCACGTTAGTTCTCCACGCCTGAATGACGAGCAGCTCCACGGTTTCTGACACGGGCCTCTGATCGCCTTCCCACGTCCAGTTCAGGTCCACTCGTAGCAGGCAGAACGAGAGCTCAACGAATTCTGCACGCCACAACCTCCAACGGATCAACGATGGGTACTGCCAGCGGCTCCAGGCAGAAAGAGAGACGGGGGTAGTGAGAGGACTGCCAGAATATGGGGAAGAGCGAGGGAGGGGAAAACGTCGAGATCGGCGCACGGCTCATCTGCGCGGCTGGAAGGGGGCAAGCTCAGGGAGGACAACAGGTGGCTCGCGCAGCGTTATGCGCAGCGTGTTGACCTCGATGCCGTTGACAGGATAGCACTCGTCACCGTGCCTTGTGAGCCGTCGATCCCAATCAGTGGCCAGATCACGACCCACTTGTACAAGGTGCTCTTGATGGCGGCTTGCGACGCCGGATCGAAGGCCGTGATGTCGCCGCTAAAGACTACCACAGTAGACACGTGGCTAATACCCGGGGCCGCTCGTCGTTGGAACGCCGTTGCCTCGGCCAGCACCATCACCTGGGGATTGCTCGTGAACCGGAACTCTGCCGCGCCGTACACACCCGAGGTGCAGAAGAATTGCGCAAGGCGCAGGAAGTCGGGGCTGATCCGCGGATGATGCACTTGGCGGATGGCTGAGATCTCTCCACATGGCATCAGCAACTGATCACCGAAAGCCCGCTCGGTGGCGAAGCTCATGGCGATGGCGGAGGTGACGAGGTGTCAGAGAAGGGGCAAGAGGAAGAGGGAGATGTCGGAGAGATAAGATCGTTGTCGTCGGCTTCCTCTGAGGGGGAGGCCGATGAAGAGGGAGATGGAGTAGAGGGGAGGAGGCGAAGATAGGACACGTGGCGTGTGATCGGATGGACCGATCGACTGCCAGAGACTTCGGGGGCGAGACGCACGGTGTCCACGCCGTTAGGGCCGAGCTCGATCACGCGATACCGCCCGAAGAATCGTGGTGCTAGCTTGCCCTGGCGAGCACATTTCCTTACCTGCACTATGTCCCCCAATTTGTACTGGGTCCGTGGACCCACATTCCCATTTCGGGCCTCGTAGCTTCGGACCTGTCGGCCTTGGGCTAGTTCGGTCATTTTTTGTCGTTTTCGGGCTAGCCTGGGCAGTGACCGTTCCATTAGCTCTAGGTGCCGTTTGGCCTTGTCCCGAGCCGTGGCCCTGGTGGGCCGTCGGCTCAATGTAGACTCATCTGGGAGGCTTGGTATCAAAACGCAAGCGACGCTATTGGTCCTTAATTGGAAGGGGCTTAACCCCATCGATTCGTGGGGCGTTCCGAGGTGGACCGCCAGGATGTGATCGACGATATCGGGCCAGGGCCTTGGATCCCGTGCCGCAATATTTCGTCGCAATGCTGTCTTTATCACCCGTTTAGCGTTCTCGACCAGCCCATTGGATTGTGACATGTGGGGTGCAGTGTTCCGTATGGCGACGCCATGTAGGACCAGATTCCTTAGCACTTCCCCCCTTAATTCAGCCCCGTTGTCGGTCAGGATCTCCTCCGTATCCTAATGCATCCCGAGGAAACGGTTGACGTATCGTGCGATTTCAGCGGCTTGCCACGTGCGGCAAGGGTAGGCCTCGATCCATTTCGAAAAATGGTCGACGAATACCAACAAGACTGAATACTCACAACTATTAGGACCAGGGGACACTACTATGTCGGTAGTATCCATGCTTACTCTTTGAAACGACCGTTCAACTACTGTGGGCACTATCCACCTTGGGGGCTGAATCGGCGCTTTATCAGCGGCGCAGACTTGACAGTTGGCGACGATGTATTTCACATCGTCGCGGATATTGGACCAGTACCACTCATTTTTGTAGATAGCGGACTCCGTGATTCGTACGGCAAAATGAGCCGCAGTTTCCTCGTGCGCCGTCTTAACCCAGTCATACCGCATGAATGGATGCGGCACAACCATCCAAATCCCACTGCCGTCTGTTTTCCGTTTTTCTAATCTGCCCTCTATCCATCTGTAATCCCGAGCCTTCTCGTTGGCCCTCCTCCGATCTTCCTTGGTGAAATCCTGGAGGGGGTTGCCAACCAAGGTGGCAATCAAGGCAATATCAGTCCATACTTCGGCCCTTCTAAACTTCCGGGTCTTTTCCAACCCTTCTAACGTGGCATCCAAAAAGCGAGCCTCGGTCGGAATCTTGTCGGTCCGGCACAAGGGGCACAACCATGGTTTACTATGGTTTCTGTATTGGATGCACGAGCCGTGGGCTCGTGCAACACACTGTCGGCAATCTATCCAATCAACATACCCTTCCCCGTTAGGACGCATGGAGACCGAGTATACGCGGGAGATAGCTTCGCAAAAATAGCAAAATTTGTCAGGCAGGGAGAGGAGAGACGAGGAGGACAGGGGAGAGAGAGGGGTAGTGGGGTTACCTCCAGCACCCATCGCCACCGTTTTACTTTTTGCCACGTGGGAGGACTGCCACTTGTCCGTACTTAGGCTCGTTGGTCAGGTCCGGCTCTTTCCACGGTGTAATTTCCTCGCACTTTGGTACCTTGGAAGGTCGATGCCGACGTGTCAGCCCGTCCGCGTTGCCGTGTCGCTCCGTCTTTCGATGGACGATATCGAAGTCGTATTCTTGCAGTCGCACCGCCCAACAGCCAATCACGCCCGTGTAGTTGGTGAGCTTCTTCAAAGCTAGCAGAGGCTCGTGATCCGTCACGAGGCGAAACTTCTGTCCGTAGAGATACGGATGGAAGTGCTGGATTCCCCAGACCACTGCATAGCATTCGCCTTGAGGTGCTGAGTCATTCCTCCGTTCGTCCGGTACCGTGCGTGACGCGTATTCGATGACGTGTTCACGACCATCGATCCCCTTCTGCGCTAAAATAGCGGAGATAGCTTCCGCTTGCCAGTCTGTGATGAGAATGAACTGTTTCGAGGGGTCCGGCCGAATCAAAATAGGGGCCGTCGCCAGAGCGTCCTTGAGGGTTGCGAAAGCCTGTTGGCACTCCGCGTCCCAGCTGAGGGGCTGGTCCTTCCTTAACAGATTCGTTAATGGTCGTGCAATCGCGGCAAAGCCCTTGATGAAGCGCCGGTAGTATGATGCTAACCCCAAGAAAGCTCGAACTTGCGTCAGTGATGTGGGAACCGGGGCTTCTTTCACCGCCGCAACCTTTCTTGAGTCCGACCGTAGTCCTCCACGTGTCACGACGTAGCCCAAGAACGAAATTTCCGAGAGGAAAAATTCGCTCTTCTCGAGCGCAATCTTGAACCCAGCGTCTCTCAATGCGCCCAACGTCCATTCGATATGCTGCGCGTGCCTGTGATAGGTTTCCGAATAGACCAGGATATCGTCCATGTACACGATCACGCAGAAGTTAATCATCCCTTGCGTCAGTCGTGTCTTGTTGATGAAATTCCGGAACGTCATGTTCATCGCTCGCTGAAATGTGGTCGGCGCGTTGCAAATCCCCATCGGACACCGAACCCACTGCCATGTGCCCTCAAACAACACAAAGGCCGTTTTCGGCCGATCTTCCTCTTTAACCAGAATGTGATGAAAACCATGCCGAATATCAAACTTGCTGAAATAATTGGCACATCCAATCACATCCAATAAATCATCAATCCGGGGGAGGGGATACACATCTTTGATTGTGATCTCATTCAACTTTCGATAATCAATGCAAATGCGAATCCCTCCGTTTTTCTTGGGTACTAATACTACGCGAAATGACCAAGGTCCGGTAGCGGGTTCAATCCAGCCGCTGGCTTTGAACTCTCGAATTTGTTCGAGAGCCTTTTTGCGTTCAATCAACGAATACCGGTAAGGTTTGCAATGAATCGGGGAGTGATTTCCTGTTTGAATCTCATGTTGGATTACTAACGATAAGTCGATGTCAGTGTCTGTCACACTAATCGCTCCTTGATATTCCGTTAGAATATCCGCAATCACACGGTGGATTTCATACGGTACGTACTGTGGAACATGTAGCTCGAAAAGTTGGTCCCAGATCCGAATGTCAATCTGTTTCGTGCGCGCCTGTTTTGCCACATCGGGCGGAGGCACCGAGATGAACGAATGGTCTGATCGCCAAGAGAACACTGTGGCCATCATCTGGGCATCTTCTTCCCGGATTGCCACGTGTCCTTCCGGGGTAATTCCGTCACGAATATCCTGCCATGGCACGTTCTTAGTTGCGATCTTTATCCCCACTTCGTCTGTTTCTGCTTCGAGACGCCCAGGGGGTTTCAGAGAACTTGCTTCCGCCCCCAAGCGTAACAATCTCACTTCTTTAGCAGATGTCAATAAGGACTTGGGTAGATCCGTAATGTCACAGTAATGCTTCTTGTCGTTATACCGGGCGAGGAGAGGGGTGATTCCTTCGTATAGAGTCTGAGGGGGTTCCAAAGAATCGACCATCCTCGAAATTTGCACGAGGGGCTCACCCAAGATCATCGCCTTGGTCCTTTGAATTTTTCGGCTGGTCAGTTGCATCGTTCTCGCTATCGCTTTGGGCGGTGGGTAGTAAACGCGCTGTCGTGCTAATTTCAAGATCTCCGGATCATCCTCATCGCTGCTGCCCGCATCATTCATCGATGACTTTTCATCGGCGGACTCGTCCCAGGAGATCATGCGGAGAGTCCCTGCCATCAGCGGCGAAGCCCGTGGGACCGTGTTAATGGTAGTACGAAGGGTTAATCGCATGGGCACAGCGTAGGGTTTTCCTCTTGTATTTCGCAGGATAATCGATCTTCGTTCGAAATCCAAGTTTGCTCGTAGAGCCACAAGAGCGGGAAGTCCAAAAAGAACGTCGTACGTATTAACGTCTAGTACTACGACATCTCCAAGCGCGTGCACTTTTCCTAATCGGAAAGCGACATTGGTCATTCTTCCCACGGTCTTGATCTTTTCTTCATCTGCCGAAACGAGCTGATCTTTCTCAGTGAGCATGATCAGATCGTTTTTCCTACCGGCCCTTTCGACCACTCTCAGTGAAATAGCCAGCACAGCTGCTCCCGAATCTATAATTGCGTTGTAAGGAATTCCCCAAATTTCAATATCG